TTACAGAGAGCTTGAGAGTGACTTAAAGGCTAAAAAGGCAAAGCCTAATAATAGGCCATATAAAGAACAAAAAAGAATAAGCTAGCTAACGTGCAGCAAATGTATAATTACAAGTTTCAAGGGATACATAAGACCATAAATTAAGGAGCAAATTAGAGCAACTCCAGCGTAGGAGCCCTCCCCCCAGGCAATTCACTATTCAATCCACCCAGTGAACAGTAACTACCCTTAATGAACAGTAACTGCCTTTTGCATTTCTAGCGTGGGAGCCCTCTCCTTGGCAATAGGTAATAAAATATTTGTATTTTATTTATTTATAAAATAATACAAAATAATTTTATTTGTAATTTCGGATAGGATTTTTAATCGATCTTGTTGTACCATTTTCTATTAAAAAATTATTTTTATTTTTTATTTTCACATGTAGCTAGGGGTGGGTTCAAATAACCGAAAACCGAAAAAAACCGAAAACCAAACCGAACCGAGGCCGAAAAAAACCGAACCGAAACTGCCAAACCGAACCGAACCGAATCTGGCTGGTTCGGTTTCGGTTTTTAAGGTTCGGAAACCGAACCAAAACGAACCGAACCGAACAGATATATATATTTAATTTTGTTTTCAATATTATAAATAATTTAGTGATACAATCATAACAAGACATAACCTGTTACCAAGTTGGTTTGCTTGAAACTTTTCAAGCCCCTGTGCATGGGTTCGAATCCTCATGCTTCCAGGGTTTCAGAAAAGTTTTTTAGTTTTTTTGAGCAATCAACAACCTTTTAACTTAAAATTAAATATAAATACTTAAAACCTGCTGCTGTGAGGAATCGAACCCCTTCCGTCCAGGGGGGATAATTCCTTCAAGCCAACTTGACTGTAGGCTTTGTGTTGTTATAATTGTACCAGTAATATATTTATAGGTTTCTAATATTTAAATGCTTTATAAAAATTTCTTAAGATTAAAAAACCCCTAGCCGTCACTCTCCCAATCCCATTTCGGTTTTCCCTTTTCTCAAGCACTCTCTCCCCTCCGCTATTTCCTCTCTGCCTCTCTCTCTCTCTCTTTCTCTCCCCTTCCTCTCTTCCTCCAAATCACTATCTCTCTTTGTGGATTTCGACGGTAGCAAAGAGGAGAGCCAAACCACAGTGGCAGTGGAGCAGTCCAGTGGCACAACATGGGACTGATGGGCAGTTGACGGCGGACGAGGGCAGTCATTAATCGTTGCAGATCCATGATCCATGGTTCTTTGTTTTTGTGTTGTGTTGTTGGTTAATTTTCGTTTGCAGATTTTTTTTTTCAATTTCGTTGGTTCTGAACTTCTGATGAATTTGATCTGTAGCTTCTAAATTTCATGGTTTTGCAATTTGTTTTGGGTATGCTGGATTTGGTTAGGTAACTTCATTTATGAACACTATTAGACTATTAGTTGAGGTTTGATTAATTTGTGAGAGTACATACGGTTTGATTAATTTGTTTTGGGTATGCTGCTGCTGAAGCCTGGATTTGTTGTGGCTGTTTTGCATTTTTTGGAGGAAAAAAAAAAATACCGAAAAAAAACCGAAACCGAACCGAAAAAAACCGAAAAAAATTTGGGCCGAACCGAACCGAACCGAAATTTCGGTTTGGTTTCGGTTTTGGCAAAAAACCGAACCGATAAGAACCGAACCCAGCCCTAATGGAACTGATGCCCGTTCTTTATTAATCAACAGAGTGTTGTTGATATGTCATCGATAATGTGTTAATATCTATTGGAAATGATGTACTTAACGTGATGGAAGTGATGTACCGACACTTTTCCTTTGTTCCTTAAGAGCAACTCCAGCGTGGGCTGGTGCTCGAGGGGAAGGCCCGTGAACAGTGCCACAGAGCTCGGGGAGAGTGCTCCAGCGTGTGGAAGCCCGATGGACAGGCCAAACCCGAGCAACAGGCCTGGCACGAATTGCCAGCCCGAGAGCCCAAAGGCAACGTGACGTGGGTTGACGTCAGCCATAATATAAAATTAATAAAAATATAAAATATTAATAAAATTAAAAAGTAAAATTAAAAAAAAATTAAAAAAATTGTAAAACCCAGGCTTCGAACTCAACGGCTCTCGCCGGAGTTCATCGCCGAGGTTGATGAACACCCACAGACAAATGGCAGAGATCCAGTCCATCCTCCGCTGCAACTGGCGTGCCCAAATTGGACGATTTGGGATTTGTTTTTGGGGGAAAGAGGAGAGAGAGAGAGTTTGGTTAGGGAGCGGGAAAGATCGGGACCGTTGATGGAGGCTGAGGTGGGTGTGATGGTGACGATGGAGGAAGAGAGGCAGCGGTGGGGTGGTGAAGATAGAGGAAGAGAGGCGAGGAGGGTTTGGGTGCGTTGTGGGGGGGGGGGGGGAGCGGGCGACACAGGTTGAAAATTTGGGTGTGGGTTGAAAATGGTGTGAAAAGAAGAAAAAAAATGTTGATGAGTGACGATGCGTTGGCACCATCATGTGAAAAGAAGAAAAATAATAATAAAAAAAAAAAGTTTTGGACTAGTGCTACATGTAGGGCTGGGTTCGGTTCTTATCGGTTCGGTTTTTTGCCAAAACCGAAACCAAACCGAAATTTCGGTTCGGCCCAAATTTTTTTCGGTTTTTTTCGGTTCGGTTTCGGTTTTTTTTCGGTTATTTTTTTTTTTCCTCCAAAAAATGCAAAACAGCCACAACAAATCCAGGCTTCAGCAGCAGCATACCCAAAACAAATTAATCAAACCGTATGTACTCTCACAAATTAATCAAACCTCAACTAATAGTCTAATAGTGTTCATAAATGAAGTTACCTAACCAAATCCAGCATACCCAAAACAAATTGCAAAACCATGAAATTTAGAAGCTACAGATCAAATTCATCAGAAGTTCAGAACCAACGAAATTGAAAAAAAAAATCTGCAAACGAAAATTAACCAACAACACAACACAAAAACAAAAAGAACCATGGATCATGGATCTGCAACGATTAATGACTGCCCTCGTCCGCCGTCAACTGCCCATCAGTCCCATGTTGTGCCACTGGACTGCTCCACTGCCACTGTGGTTTGGCTCTCCTCTTTGCTACCGTCGAAATCCACAAAGAGAGATACAGAGTGATAGTGATTGGAGGAAGAGAGGAAGGGGAGAGAAAGAGAGAGAGAGAGAGGCAGAGAGGAAATAGCGGAGGGGGAGAGAGTGCTTGAGAAAAGGGAAAACCGAAATGGGATTGGGAGAGTGACGGCTAGGGTTTTTAATCTTAAGAAATTTTATAAAGCATTAAATATTAGAAACCTATAAATATATTACTGGTACAATTATAACAACACAAAGCCTACAGTCAAGTTGGCTTGAAGGAATTATCCCCCTGGACGGAAGGGGTTCGATTCCTCACAGCAGCAGGTTTTAAGTATTTATATTTAATTTTAAGTTAAAAGGTTGTTGATTGCTCAAAAAAACTAAAAAACTTTTCTGAAACCCTGGAAGCATGAGGATTCGAACCCATGCACAGGGGCTTGAAAAGTTTCAAGCAAACCAACTTGGTAACAGGTTATGTCTTGTTATGATTGTATCACTAAATTATTTATAATATTGAAAACAAAATTAAATATATATATCTGTTCGGTTCGGTTCGGTTTGGTTCGGTTTCCGAACCTTAAAAACCGAAACCGAACCAGCCAGATTCGGTTCGGTTCGGTTTGGCAGTTTCGGTTCGGTTTTTTTTCGGTTCGGTTTTTTTCGGCCTCGGTTCGGTTTGGTTTTCGGTTTTTTTCGGTTTTCGGTTATTTGAACCCACCCCTAAGTTCCATAGCCAGACAAATAATTCTTCATATATAATTGATAGATTGCATTGTAATACATAGGATGGGACCAAAATAATTCCTAGAATTAATTTATAAAAATTCAACAATGGTAAATAAAATATGAAAAACATGCAGCTTCATCAAGAAGAAACAAGAACATGCATGCATAGAACTGCAGTTTTTTTCCTAACCTGGATCTTCTCTCTCAACCTAGAGAGAGAGACACACACAGAAACTCCGACTCCAACTCCGACTCCGAGAGATCTAGACAGAGGGTTAGGTAATAGGTTATGCTCTAGGGGAAGCAGGGAATGAGAATTTATAAGGGAAGGGCGCGTCGCCGAGCAATCGGAATATTACAGTGGTATGCTCTTCCCCTCCATTTTAGCTAGCTGTTGTTTCTCTGCAGACCCTTCTGTTCAACAAACTCAAGACATCTTTCAGCGGTATATTCCGAATGTCTGAGAATTTCTAGTAGAAACCAGTAGTAGCCAAAACCGAAAACAGTTCCATATACATTACCAGAACGCGTATTTCCACAGTTGTCCAATTTCTATATTTAGTTTTCAAATTTGAGGTTCAAATTTTACGTAATATATACTTTGGTGAAGGAATTAAATTCCATATAATCTGAGGGGATGGAATATATGTCCTAATTGCTATGCTAGCTAGCTGGAGGATCGTAAAAGATTTCATTACAAGATTCATTTCTGATTTGGGGGGAGATTTTCAGGTAAAAGTAATCAATAATTTCTCAATGATTTGGAGACCAAAAGCAAAGAAATTATAGAATGATGGTAGAAATAAATGGATTAATGGAATAGTGTGCCGAGTGTAAGAATGTACGAACACCCTCTGTATTAAATTGGAAAGTAAAAAAGTTCTATAAGTTCGAATCCTCAATCACATTGAGAAGAAAAAAATACATGAAACACGTTTTGTTTGACTTCTTTTGAGCATTACAAATATAAGATTTCTATTAAAAACAAGGAATATAATATTAAATTTTCTCTTCGTATTGTCAAGATTTCCTTAGAAAAAATAAAGAAAAATAATATCAACGAAATCTGAGTGGTTGGAGTTCTTGAGTGTGAATGATTGTGCTTTATCTCTATTATTACGTGACTACAACTACGATCTGATATAAGACATACTCTGAACAGTGAGTATGGACTAGCCACGCTGCCTTAAGAGAAAATGTGCAAAACAACCTAAACCCCCAAAATAAATTCAACTTTCACATTGAGAAACAGAAAACGGTTGATGATTCTCTTCTACTTTATATACTCAATACCATTTAGTCACAGCTGCGGAGAGAAACATGGGTACCCTAGTTTTGATCATACACGCGAACCGCAGATGACAATTTCAAACACAAAACATTAGGTTCAAAGATAAACGCTGACGCTTTACGTACACACATGTTATACCACAAAGGATGAAATACCCCTCCCCAAAATGAACTACAGGCTTACATTACAACATTATTTTCTGCACTGCTTATAGATCCAACCTACACAACTGGAACTGTCCTGTTGTTATAGCTTGATTGCTCCAACTCCACTGTCCCGGTTTCGCTTTCTTCTTCGTTCTCACCCGACATCTCCTCCAACGACCTCCCATTCGATTCAGGCACCAAGAAGGTGAACAATATCCCCAAGAAGTTGACCACACCCAACACAAGGAGCGAGTTTTTAACCCCGATGCCTGGAGGGTACCCTGCATCTGTCTTGTTCTTATCTTTGTTCTGAGCCAAGTACAAGAACCCGAATGCACCAACTATGGCGCCAAGCTTCCCGGACGCAGCTGAGATTCCATGACACGTAGACCGGAACCTAGCTGGGAAAATCTCAGCCGGCACAACAAATGTGGTTGCATTAGGACCGAAGTTTGCGAAAAAGAAGGTCAATGAGTAGATCACTACGAACCCAATTCGGTTGTCCTTGTGAGTCCAATGTTCGTAGGGAATAGCCAGTGCAAACATGAACACTGTCATGAAGAAGAATCCCATCAACTGAATTGCAAATCTTCCAATCCTGTCAATGAAAGCTACCGTAAACCAGTAGCCAGGGACAGTACTGCACAATGCAATAAGAGTTTGGGCCCTTGCGATTCTGTAAACTTCTTCAATAGCATTCATTGTCTCTGCAGGAGGAATCCATCCGATCGCACTGAAAATATCCTTTTGGAACAGATTTTGGCTGTAGAATGCAATGTCAAGTAAGAACCAAGTGCTTGTTGTTCCAAGCAAGTGAAGTCCATGACGGTGCATAAACTCCTTGGAGAACAAAGCAAATGCATTAGCAGTCGGCTCAGCCTTCTGGGGTTCTGCTTCAATTTCTACCTGCAGAACCTTTGACATGTCGGATGCAGCCTGTTTCGCATTCTTTGCAACAAGGGCGGTGTAACGGGCAGTTTCAGGCATCTTCATGCGCCAGTAGTAAGTCAGTGCAGCTGGGATTGCTCCTACCATCACAATAATCCTCCACAGATAGTCCGCTTGTGGAACGGTTGAGGCAAGTGCATTGACCTTATATGTTGGAGCATCAAAATTGGCATTAAACGCGGCCGAACAGATAATAGCAAATATCCCACCTGCTAAAATTCCAAACCCCTGCATGGCAAAGACCGCGGCAATGAAAGCGCCCCGAGTCTTCTTGTTAGCATACTCAGACATGATTGTGGCAGAAAGAGGGTAGTCACCGCCAATACCAAACCCTAGCCAGAACCGGAAGAAACAAAGCGTTGACATTACGGTTGTTGGGGTATGCCCAAATGAGAGACCTGAAGCAATAGAACATATGACCATAAGCATAAGAGTCATTCCATAAACTTTCTTCCTTCCCATCTTGTCACCAAGCCAGCCAAAGAAGAGCTGGCCTGCTAAGGTTCCACAAAACGCCACACCATTTACGGCAGCTGACACATTCGGAGGCAATGTCCCGGGCTTCTCTGCGCCTTCAACGTGGTAGTATATGCGGCCGAGCAACTTGGTCACCAAAGAAATGCAGAAGAGATCATATGCATCTGTGAAGAATCCCATTCCAGCAATGATAATTGCAGTGAAATGGTACCATTGTGTTTTTGCTACGTCAAGTGCATTGAGAACCTGTAATTGCTCTTTAGCCATGGCTAAGCTAGCTTTTACAAATTCTCTCTCTTCTGTTTCTTTCTCACCAACTTTTTTTTTTTATCTGCACAATTTGAAGAGTGATAAAATGAAAAAAATATTTATTGTGCGGAAGTGGCAAATACAACCTAAAATATTCAAACAATAATATAACAACAAATATAAATAACGAGAGAATAATACAACAATTTATAACGGTTCGGCTTTACTACACCTAGTTTGAAGACAGCGAAAAATTTAAAAATTTAAAATTAGTATTTACATTTAGTACTACAGTCTACTAGTATTCCTCTTCACTTGTAAGTGAAATGTCTTGGATTCAATTCTCGTCAAAGGTGAATTTGAACAACATTATTGTTAGTCTATTGTAAGGCTAAGCGCATCTTCTTCTCCATTAATGTAGAATATCGTTTATCAAAAAAAAAAAAAAAACAATCACAACTCAAATCCTGAATACATCTAAATCATCGGAAGTTTCCAATGAGCGTGATAATAAATGAGTCAATCTTCAACAAAGGGGAAAAACAAAGGAAAAGTCAAACAATTGTTTAATTATCAACCAGGGAGTTTGAAAATTGGACTCCCAACGCTGGCAGGTCAAAAATAATTTCTGACTACAGAGCCCTCGATTTTCCACCAGTTGGTCATACGTTGAAAATTAAATTTTGCCTCACCTAGAATTCCAGGTTCAACCAATTCACTTTATATTTTCTGACTTTTCAAAATTTTTTGCCACTAATTTATCACATCACAACATTTAACTAGAGAAAAAGAATTCTTATAAAGATACTATAACGAAATGCTACGGAGATTTTTTTTCAGAAGTAGGATTCTCATGTACTCTCTCCCCCTTTATGTTTTTAACCCAAAATTTTATATGTTGTTACAGAAATTAACGTTAAATTGAAAAGTGACAAAAAATTTATGAAGAGCCAACACTTTAAAAGAATCTTTTTAGCATTTCTCTAACTAATTACACATTCCAAAGAAATTTTATTTGCCACCCCCCAAAAAAAGGGACCATTTTATTTGAGCATGAAAAAGTGAAATGATCTGATGAAACTAGCAAAACTTCCATGACTACTGGAAAAGTGGAAGAAAAGACAAACAATGAACTCTGCCTCATTCTACCACTGAAGAGGTTTTTGTTTTTTTGGCCAGATTTCTCAAGTGAGAAAAGCTCTGGTGGGGCATTTGGACCACGTCGCCTGTCATACTTTGCTCCTTTCAATTTCATATTAATTTTACTCGACGTGAGAGTCGTCCTATACAAATTTTTGAAGCTTGAACTAGGAAAATCACATTCAAACTGCCCCACACAAGCAGACAAACAGAAGTTCAGTCTCTATACCAAACCATTTAAAATATGCACCAACCAATCTTTATCTCTAATAAAATTTAAAATTATTTTAAAATCTTCAACCTTTGTCTCTCCAACGATATCAAAACCACGTGGAAGTAAATTAAATTTTCAATCTTTGCACTCTAAGAGTCTAAAGACTACGTCATTAGAGTGTAAAGTTAAACCCTTTAAATTACCCTTCAAACAGAGCGGCCTAGGCCTATTTTTCCAGGGTTGTTTAACCAGATTTCTAAGGATCAAAAATATCAAAACAGTAATTTAATTGGCTTAAACTAATATTTACAGCTATTTACAGATGAAGATTATGAATGCGATTAATTGTTTGAACGGGTACAAATCTTTAATACTCTAAATTCAGAAGATAATCTCAGATCCAAAACTCAGAATTAATACTACTTTTAACTTATTTTTCCAACTTACCTGCATCTGATGCACAATGGGTTTCTGAAAATTCTATCTTTTCTACTTCATCTCTGCTTAAGACCCCAAAAAAATAAAATAAAAAATACAATGAAAGGAGGAGTTTTTAGAGTCAAAACCAGAAAATTAGTTTCTGATATGGTAGCTGACACGTCTGTGCTGTAATTTCGAGAGGGGGATTTTGAACTCGGGTACAAGGGGCGGGCAAACTGTCCCGAGTATTCTGACTGACTAAGCGGCCGAACTCACATTTCAGCGGTTCATAAATCAGAAGCGGGACAAATTAAGAAAGAGATACCCATGTGAGAATTGCAAAAGGGAAGAGAACCCCATGGACGATATGCATCGAAAAAGCTACAAATTGTATCTATTCCCAATGACAAAGAAAACCCCACTGACTTTACACTTTACACTTTGCACTTAGATCTTGCAACTTGCATGCATGATAGAGAATTATGCATGGAGATATCAGTGGGCTTAATTACAAGATCAACAACAATGGAAGCAAAAATTAAGCATAAACAAAGATGTTTAATATCTAATTAGATAAATTAATTGATTTAATTTGCACACTAACCTGTTGGGAGCGAGCGAGCGAGAGAGAGATGAAGAAATTTGATGGTGAGAAAAGGAAAATGAAGGGATGCGAATATTTATAGGCAGGCAGGCAGCAGCCAATGCGTTCACACGAAGGAATTTCCACCGGCATATTCCATTTTCTCCCCGCGTCCGTCTTTATTTTTCAAGTCAACCGTCGCACCCTGTTTCTGTTAGGAATGTCGGTACTACAAGATAGAGAATGCACAAGGTAAAGTAGAAAATGGACGCCAAGAATTTATGTGGTTCGGCAATTTATGCCTACGTCCACCAAACAAGGAATCTTCACTATATGAAAAAGATGAATACAACAAGAGTAGTCTTACCAAGCCAAAGACAAGGCTTGATGGATACAAGAAAGTATAACACACATTTTCTATCACTCTAAACTTCACTCACACAATGTGTAGTGGAACACTCTCACTCTCACTCTCACTCTTGGAGTGGAACTCTAGCTTTGGACTTGATCCTTTGCTACTCACTCTTGGTTCTCAATTGGTTACATCACACCCATATTTATAGGTGAGGGCTTGGCATTCTACTAGTTTCTAGTTCCTTCTTCAAACCTCTAGTATAGAAAAATCTAGACTAGCCATATACTTGTAGCTTCTAGATCTTTCCATTTGCAACCAAGGAAGCTAGTACTCTCTAGCTTCTTCCATCAACTTAATAACATTCTAGAATTGTCTAGCAAGCTCCAGCCTCATCTCTTGCTTACTAGAATAATCTAGAACATTGATCATGGGCTGGACCATATACCAACAATCTCCCCCTCCAGTCCATGAGGGAGGAATTCCGATCATGACTCCAAGTTACCTGGAGTTCATCCCAGCAGCCTTAATGCAGAATTCCAACTTTGATTTTGTGACTACCTTTGTCAACATGTCTGAAGAATTATTATCGGTATGAATCTTCTTCAGCTGCAGCAACTTGTTCTCGATAGCGTCTCTAATCCAGTGATAACGAATATCAATGTGCTTAGTGCGTGAATGATATGTAGTGTTCTTGCTCAAGTCCAGAGCACTCTGACTATCACAATAAATGCCATAATCACTTTGCTTCAAACCCAACTCTTGGAGAAACTGCTTCAGCCACAACAACTCCTTGCATGCTTCTGTAGCGGCTATGTATTCAGCCTCGGTTGTGGACAAAGCAACACACTTTTGCAACTTGGATTGCCAAGACACGGCTCCCCCGGCAAAAGTGAACAAGTACCCAGATGTAGATTTTCTACCATCCAGGTCACCTCCCATGTCAGCATCTGTAAATCCTTCCAAGATTGGTTTGGAACCGCCAAAGCACAAGCACATCTTAGAAGTCCCCTTCAAATATCTGAGAATCCACTTAACGGCTTCCCAGTGGTCCTTCCCTGGATTAGAGAGAAACCTGCTCACCACACCTACTGCATGAGCAATATCTGGTCGTGTGCACACCATTGCATACATGATACTTCCTACTGCTGAAGAGTAGGGAACAACTGCCATTTTCTCCTTTTCTTCATATGTTTTTGGACACGACTCTTTGCTCAACTTGATATGATTGGCTAAAGGTGAGCTTACCGGTTTGGCTGCTTTCATGTTGAACCTTTCAAGCACCCGTTCAACATACTTTTCTTGTGACAGCCACAACTTCTTGGATTTTCTGTCACGAATTATCTCCATGCCCAAAATCTGCTTGGCTGGCCCTAAGTCCTTCATGTCAAAGGACTTAGATAACTCTTCTTTGAGCTTTTTAATCATAGAAGCATCTTGTCCGACAATCAACATGTCATCAACATAAAGCAATAAGATGATGAATGTACCTCCAGAAAATTGTTTGATATAGACACAAGAGTCAGCATGAGTTCTCTTGTACCCATTACTCACCATGAATGAGTTGAACTTCTTATTCCACTGTCTCGGAGCCTGCTTAAGACCATATAAACTTTTCTTGAGCTTGCACACCAAATTTTCTTTACCTTTGACTTCAAAGCCTTTGGGCTGCTCCATGTATATCTCCTCTTCTAAATTGCCGTGGAGAAATGCAGTTTTAACATCTAACTGCTCGAGCTCAAGATCCATGCTTGCTGCCATACCAAGGATAACTCGAATGGAAGTCATCTTCACCACCGGTGAGAAAATCTCATCAAAGTCAACTCCTTTCTTTTGACCAAAACCTTTGACAACCAAACGAGCCTTGTACCTTGTCATGTTGTCGTCTCTTTTCAATTTGAACACCCACCTGTTTTTCAATGCTTTCCTGCCCTTTGGAAGCTCCACCAGCTCATAGGTATCATTCTTTGATAAGGAATCCATCTCCGACTCCATTGCCTTCATCCATTTGTCACTGTCGTTATGAGCTCTGGCCTCCTCATATGTTTCGGGCTCTCCATAATTAGTCAACATGATATACTCTGATGAAGAATACTTGGTAGACGGTCTTCGACTTCTGATGGATCTTCTGACCTGATCTTCATTCTCTTGTAGGGCTGAAGGCTCCCCCTGATTGGGTTCTCCTTGAATATGCTCTTCTTGACTAGGCTCCCCCTGATCAGCAATCTCATGGTTTGGCACATCTTGATCAGGCTCCTCTTGATTAGCATTATCTGATTCTGCAGGCACTTCATTGGCAGTTGCTTCAGGGATGTCATCGTGACTTTCTTCATCTGAAGCTAATGGATCAACTCCTCTGACTGCGCCATCTGGTTGTGCCTCTTTATCCGAATCCCCAATTGTTTGTTCTTCATAAAAGACCACGTCTCTACTTTGGATAAACTTCTTCTGGTATGGGTCCCATAATCTGTAACCAAAATCTTCACCGCCATAACCAAGAAAGATGCACGGTGTAGCTTTGTAGTCTAACTTCGATCTCTGCTCTTTGGGCACATGCACAAAAGCTTTGCAACCAAACACCTTCAGATGAGAGTAAGACACATCATTACCAGTCCATACTCTCTCTGGAACATCAAGACCTAATGGTACTGATGGAGATCGGTTGATCAAATAGCAGGCTGTCCTTACAGCTTCACCCCAGAACTGCTTAGATAACTTTGCAGTCCTCAACATACACCTGACTTTCTCCATGATGGTTCGGTTCATTCTTTCAGCAACACCGTTATGTTGTGGAGTTCCAGGAACTGTCTTCTCATGACGTATGCCATGTTTTACACAATACTCTCTAAACTGGTGAGATGTGTACTCGCCGCCGTTGTCGCTACAAAGGCACTTGAGAGGTTTCCCAGTTTCCCTCTCCACCATGGCATGGAACTCCTGGAATGTCTGAAACACCTGGTCTTTGGATTTCAACAAATACACCCACACCCTTTGGCAAAGGGAATGTGAGACTTCTTTGCCAAAACCTGTAGGCCTTTCTCGCTCATGTGACCTAGCCTCTTATGCCACAAGTCTAGAGATGAGTCCTCCACAGCATTCAACTCACCTTTCAAAACCTTGGCATTTGACCGGTACAACGTACAACAAAGTCGTGCTCTTGCTACCACCATTAAGCCTTTAGTAAGCTTCAATTTTCCTTCGCCAATATGGTGATAATATCCTTGTCGATCAAGGGTACCAATGGATATCAGATTGAGACGTATATCAGGAATATGTCTCACATCTTTCAACATCAATTGGCAGCCGAGATTAGTTCTTAGACATATATCACCAATTCCAAGAATTTTGGAATAGCTTTCATTCCCCATCTTCACTATGCCAAAGTCACCTTCTTTGTATGTACTGAAAAACTCCCGTTTGGACGTAGCATGGAAGGAAGCTCCATTGTCAAAGATCCATTCAATGTCTCTGTCAGAGTTGCCCATATGCAGACATTCACCAACAGACAATATTTCTGGTACATCACCACATATGACAGCAGTGGTATTGCCAGTATCATCTTTCTTCTGATTGTTTCCTTCCCTTTGCTCTCTCTTCCAAACTCGACAATTTTTCTTCATATGGCCTTCTTTGCCACAATGGTGGCATGCACCCCTGAACCTTGACTTGGATCGGCTAGGACTCCTGCCATGACCTCTAGGCCCTCTACTCGTGCTTCTTCCGCGGTTCTCTGTGACAAATACTTGGCTGCTATCTGTGCCAGAAATCTTTCTCCTTGTATCTTCATTGAGCATGCTATTTTTAACATTATCAAGAGTAAGAACACCATTAGAAGCAGAGTTACTTATACTCACCACAAAGGTCTCCCAACTGTCTGGCAAGGATCCAAGTAACAAGAGCGCTTGTAGCTCGTCCCTCGATCGTCATTTTCATAGTAGCCAACTGGTTGATGATATTCTGGAAATTGTTCAAGTGTTCTGCTACACTTAAACCATCCTTGTACTTCACATTGATGAGCTCTTTGATCAAGAAGGCTTTCTTGGCTGGGGTCTTCTTCTCAAACAAGGACTCAAGCTTCGTCCAAAACTCGCGAGCATTGGTTTCATTAGACACATGGTGAAAAACACTATCATCCACCCATTGTCTAATTGTGCCAATAGCCTTGCGATTCATCTTCTTCCACTCGGCATCGGACATGCTCTCGGGGCTTAGCGGCATCTCCTTCAATTGGCTCATGCAAATCCTTGCAATAGAGAATGTCCTCCATCCTTGGCTTCCATGTTACCCAATTGGAGTTGGTGAGTTTGATCATAGTGCCACTTCCTTCCATCTCGCAGTACGAGCCAACCGGGCTCTGATACCACTTGTTAGGAATGTCGGTACTACAAGATAGAGAATGCACAAGGTAAAGTAGAAAATGGACGCCAAGAATTTATGTGGTTCGGCAATTTATGCCTACGTCCACCAAACAAGGAATCTTCACTATATGAAAAAGATGAATACAACAAGAGTAGTCTTACCAAGCCAAAGACAAGGCTTGATGGATACAAGAAAGTATAACACACATTTTCTATCACTCTAAACTTCACTCACACAATGTGTAGTGGAACACTCTCACTCTCACTCTCACTCTTGGAGTGGAACTCTAGCTTTGGACTTGATCCTTTGCTACTCACTCTTGGTTCTCAATTGGTTACATCACACCCATATTTATAGGTGAGGGCTTGGCATTCTACTAGTTTCTAGTTCCTTCTTCAAACCTCTAGTATAGAAAAATCTAGACTAGCCATATACTTGTAGCTTCTAGATCT